ACACCAGGAGGCCAGTTTTGTTTCCACAAGAAAGGGGACCATGAGCTAAAGGTGGCTGGAAACCATAAAACAAGTGTGAAGCTCTACATTGTCTCTCTACCTTCCCCTCCATTATTCCTTATTATAAAAGATGCTTGCCCACTAGTATAATTGCTATTTGAGTCAAATGAGATCCTGAATCTCTTTGGAGCTAGCTTTGAATAGATCCTTTATTTTCTCCAAAATATATGACATCCTTTGATTTGGTCAGTGGTGAGGAAATTAACATAAGTGTATGAACCTAAGTTGCCTGTAACAGTGAAGCCTTGTATGAAAATAAAAAACATATAAAGTAAAATGGGTTGGATCTGTAGCTCAGTGTCACAGCACTTTCCAAACATGAGCAAAGTCCTGGGTTCAGTCTCCAGTACTGCAAAAAAAAAAGTGCCATATCATCATTATTGGTCATTTTAATAGATCCTGGTAAAGCATTACTGTGGCTTGTACTTAGGTATTCACCCTTAACCACACACTCATACACAGAGCTTTTGGAAGGTGTTTGAATCATGAGGTGTTATAGCTAAATGTGATATTAGGAGGTGGAGCCTTGTCAGAAGAGGCAGGTCACTGGGGATGTGACCTGGAAGAGTGTATCTCCCTCCCTGGCTCCTCTCTGCTTCCTGGCTGAAATGACACGAACAGCTTTCCTCTACTCAACCCCTCCTCTCCCTTCTGCCCTGGAACTACCCAACTATGGACTAAAATCTCTTAAAAAATGAGCCAAATAAACCTCACCTTCTTTAACTTGGTGGTTTTAAATGATTCTTTGATTTGAATCCCAGTAACAGGGAAAGTGATTAAGACAATCATTCACTAAGATACAACATCCATTTCTGATAAAGCCTTTGAAAAATTATACATAGAAGGAATGGACCACAAAATATTGGCTGTAAAAGACAAAACCATAGCCACATCACATTGAATGGGGAAAAGCTGAAAGCATGTCCTCCAAGATCAGGAAGAAAACAAGCCCTACATCTTAAAAGATCCACCTCCTCCCAATAGTACCATAGGCTAAGAATTAAGCCTTTAACACATAGGCCTTTGGGAGGACTTTCTAGATCTTAGCTATAGCGTACACAGTGGACTATTTTTCAGCCATAAAAAGAATAAAGTCCTGTTATTTGTGACAACTTGGGTGGAAATGGGAGATATCAGGGTAAATATAATAAGCCAGGCACAGAAAATAAGATGTTACCCATTCTCATTCATATGTGGAAGTTAAAAAGTTGATTTCATAGAAATGGTAGAATAATGGTCACCAGAGGCTAGGATAGACAGGAACTAAAGAGGGTAGAAGTCGGTCAGATAACAGGTACCAAAATATAGTTAGATAAGAGGAATAAATTCTAACGTTTTATAGCACAGAAAGATGACTATAGTTTACCACAATTTATTATGAATTTTAAAAAGAACTAGAAGCAAATGTTAGTAGGTTTGCAACACAGTTAAATATTTAAGTAGATGGAAATACTAATCATTCTAATTTAATCACCACAAAGCCTATATATTATATATATTTATATATATTATATATATAATTTCTTGATTAAAAATATAAGCACAAACTAACAAACTAAACACAAAAAAGTTACTAATCATAATGTACTTACTTTGTAAGCTAACTTAGGATATTTTCTCCACTTTCAATACACTGCAGTAATATATGAAACATTGCAAATATTGTGTCTTGAAAATTTGGTAGAATTCTTTTGTGCAACCCCCTAAGGAATGGTAGTTTTTTGGGGGTAATTCTTTTTTTTTTTTTTGTCCCATTCCCCATACAGCTGGCTTAGCTGCCTCTCAGCGTTTTGCAATCCCATCTCTTGTGTTTTATGTTCTGTGGTCCCGTCCATCTCTTTGGGGGGTAATTCTTAACAGGTTTTTCCCTTCTTCTTTCCTTCTTTCCTTCTTTCCTTCTTTCCTTCTTTCCCTCCTTCCTTCCTTCCCTCCCTCCCTCCCTCCCTCCCTCCTTCCTTCCTTCCTTCTTTCCTTCCCTCCCTCCTTACTTCCTTCTCTCCTTCCTTCCCTCCCTCCTTCCTTCTCTCCCCTTCTTCCTTCTTTCCTTCCTTCCTTCCTTCCTTTCTTTCTCTTTCTTTTGCAGCACTGGGTATTGAACTCAGAGCTCCACATATGCTAGACAAGTGCTCCACCACTGAGCTACACTCCCTGGCCTGCCCCTTTTACTTCTATGATGGGGTCTCCTTAAATTGACAAGATCGGCCTTGCTTCTGAGGTCTTTCTGCCTTCTTTTGATTAATTGAGATTATAGGTATGTGCCACCACACCTAGCAGCATTTCTATTTCGTTTGTGAATAACATTCTTTTATTAATTTGTTTTCTGTTTAATCATGATCTCTGTAGTACTTTGTATATTTCTTGCTTTTTCTGTTTTGTTCTTATTAAAGTGGCTAATGGTTTGTCTATATTGTTTATATTTTTAAGAAACAAGGATTTTGATTCATTAACTAGGTCTAATATTTTTCTTTTTCTACTTTTATTAGTTCATTATTTTGTTCTTTTTTAATTTGTTCTAGTTTTCTGATGTTTAATGCTTCACCTAGATCCTTTTGGAGGCTTTTATTTTTCATTGTTAGTAATGTTTATAATACATAATGGTTACATTCATCTTGGGTGATTGGTATATGTACATACTGCATCTTGATCATTTTACTTCCCCTTCCATCCTTCCCTCCCCTCCCTCTATTGCTGTATCCCCTTCCCATCTCTACAGTCTCCCTTCCTGTTTCCCCTCATCTTTTACTTTGCTCTTTGATTTATTTATACTTTGAGTTTCTCATTTAAGAGAAACCATGTGATATTTAAGCTTGCGTGTCTGATTTACTTCACTCAGCATTGTGGTCTCAACGTGCATCCATTTTCCTACAAATGACTCAAGTTTACCCTTCTCTGTGCCACAGTAGGACTTCACTGTGTATAAATACCACATTTTCTTTATCTATTCATCTGTTGGTGGACAGAGAGGCTGCTTCCATAATTTACTATACCTCAAACTGTATAATTAAAAATAGTTAATATGATGAGTTTTATGTTCTCTATTTTTACCACGACTTTTCAAAAAGGATCATATCCATTCCCCCATTACCTGCCCTTTCACCCTCCTCCTACTCCCCTTTATTCTCCTCCTCCCCTTTATTCTCCTCCTCTTGTCTAATAATAGTCTCCCTTCTACTTTATTACCAACTTTTTTAGATTCCACATGTGATGTCTGTCTGAGTTTTCATTTTTTCACTTAACATGATAAGCTTGAGATTCACTCATGTTCCTGCGTATGACAAAACTTTATTCTGCTTACAGCTGAAAAACAGTCCATTGTGTGTATATGCTACATTTTCTTTATCCACTTATCTATTGATGAGCATGTAGACCACTTCCATAATTTAGTATTCCTCAACTTTATGATTAACAGTAGTTAATACAGGGAGTTTTAAATTGTACATTTTATCACAATTTTTTAAAAAAGGAATCCATAAAGATCCACTGAGACCACTGTTCTCTACTTATGCACTCTCCTCTCAAGGTCTAATGAATGCCTTTAGGCTGAATAGTATAGTCTTCCAGGAAGGAGGGCACATGTCTTCAACTTCAAAGGCAGTACTTTGGGCCATTTCTATATGCTTAGGTTTGATGTTAATTCTTTACCTATTGTGTTACTTTTCTTTAGTAGTACATGCAGTTTACAATCATCTTGGAGAGTGAGTACATATCTTACTTTTCTGTAAGCCTATTAAAACAGTTTCATTTAAATGCCATCTAAACCCCATCTTTCACCTATAATAACCCCATGTTCTCTTTTTATTTGAAACTGCACTTCTGCTTTTGTTTTTCCTTTGAAGCAGGAATAGTTAATTTCAGGTTTTTTTCCAGATTTAAATGATTCAAGAGTACTTTAGCAAGTGACATATAGTAAATCCATTTAAGAATCTCAATACACATAGTATAATTCAAACTCTTTGTTTTTTGTTTTTTTGAGACAGAGTCTCTCTGTGCAGTTCAGGCTGGCCTTGAGCTCACTTTGTGGGCCAGGCTGGTGTCAAACTTGCAACAATCCTCCTGCCTCAGCCTCCCGAGTGTTAGAATTAGAGGTGTGTGCCACCACGCCCAGCTAAAATTCTGTTGAAAGCTTTGTGATAATCTTCTAAGGACTGAATATCTTAACTTTTTATGGGCAGCAACAAGACCTTTTGGTCAGCCAAATTTCTTAGTTTTCTTTTTATTTCTATGAATAAAATGTCCAATTTACTTTTTAGCTTCACTATGTGCTTGCTTAGTTTAAATATTGCATTGTTTCTCTTGTTTGAGAAATTGAAAGTATGAATAAGGAGCAAAATGGAGGACAGATATTAGGAAGTAGAAATACCTTGTTCAAATGAGAAGGGGAACAAGAGATAGGGGAGGAAGGAGGGACGGAAAGAAAAAGGGATTTAAACAAAAAAAGAATTGATGGAAAAGTGGAAATACAATTTAAAGTGAAGGTGAGAAAGGTTGGAGGGAGGGAAGGGGAAGGGGACAGAAAAAGAATTAAGATGTACAGTGAGGGGCTGGGGATTTAGCTCAGCGGCAAAGCGCCTGCCTGGCAAGTGCAAGGTCGTGAGTTCAGTTCCTGGTACCGGAGAAAAACAAAAAAAAAAAGAAGATGTACAGTGAATGTGATCACTGTGTACTATACACATGTACTAATAAAAATAAATTTTGAAAATAAAATTATCAAATGAATCCTTGCGCATTTAACAATTATATAATCTAGCCTCAACAGCCATAGTCTCATCTCTGAGTATGAAGTAATCATATTTCTAGGTCTTGAATGCTTGAATACTGTTCAAAACCAATTGGTCTTGATCCATTTACTGAATTTTTAAACAAACCTTTCAGAATTTGCCTCTCTAATATTCTCATTCTCTCACTTCATTATTCATACCAGAAATAAACTCATGCATGCATAAAGTAACAAATGTAAAATTATTTTAATGATTTAGATGGAATTGTTTCTAAGGAGCAATTTGAGATTGTGGTTCTACTTATGTCATTTGTAATTTCAGAAACCTGCTTAGCTCATACATTATGCACTCTAGGAACTCAAGCAAAGGGCAAAACATCTCAATGCTTTCCATGTCCTTGAAGATCACAATGATTTGCCACAGAAACAAAGAAAATGAAGTGAAAACATGAAGTTATATAAAATATACAGTGGACAGTTTATGGCTAACTAGATACAGAAAATAAAGTTACTTTTCATAAATGAGTTGGATAGAGGGAATAATATTTTTCATATTCTTATTTCCAAAAATCTTTCTAATATGGTAGATAATAAAATCTGATAACAAAAAGAGCTTTTTCTCCTGAAAGAGCTGTCCTAATTCTGTTTAGCCACACTTGCATAAGTGTTTTCAATTTCTTTGTCTTCAGGGCATGTATGAATAAATTCTTCACGGGCATAGGCATTGTGCAGATAGCGCCAGACTCCTGAGAATTCTTCTGGAATGTCAAAGTCACGATATTTCTTGGCAGCAACCTAGGATTTAGGTAAAAATGAAGACAAATAAGTGGCAATAAAAGACTCCAGTTATGTACCTACTGTGTAGGAACATATCTCAAAACTGAAGTACTACAAAATAAACTTGAATCTTGGATTTACTATTTTAATATTTTTGTCTATAAATGTTTCTGTTGGTGCTATGTTTAATTATGAATATGTCCAACAGAGGGGAGCACAGAGAAGAATATATAACATCCTCAGGAGTTTATTTAGGGTCTTGATTATTTCTTATTTGTTTATGTACTCCATGTCTGGCACAAAACATAAAGAGTAAATTCTGTACAAGTTCTGGTCAATAAATACTTGTTAAATTAATGATTAAATCATCATCATATTAATAGCCCATACTATTGATAACCAATGCTGTGAACCATGGCACTGTGTGTTCCAAGCATTTTATATGCTTAAATTTATTGGAATTTCTCAACAGGTCTGTGAAAAGGGTTAATATTATTATCCTTATTTTTTTTATTTTTTATTTTTATTTTCATTTTTATTTATTTATTTATTTATTTTTGTTTTTTTTTTCCAGTACCAGGAATCAAACTCACGACCTCGTGCTTGCCGGGCAAGCACTGTGTCGCTGAGCTAAATCCCCAGCCCCTATTATCCTTATTTTATAGACAAGACAGTGGAAAACGCCTTATGATTTAGGAAGAAAGAAACAAGAAGTTTTAATGCTGTCTAATGATTATAGATCTTTTCTCTGTGGAGAAAAAGATACACCCCATTCATGACAATGATGACAAAGCTGTCATATAACATACTGGAAGGGTACTGTGCTACATGTTGGCAATTCACAAAGCCCTCTACACCCAGATGCCTGTAAAGACTAACCTTAATAATGTTCAGCTTGGGCAGCAAGCTGCAGTCAGCCAGTGTTAGCTGATCTCCATCCAAGAACAATCTTCGGGAAATTGTGAGTTCCTCAGCACTGTCTGGATCAATTTCATCCAGAAGTGGGGTGTTTAAGTAGTCATCCAAACGCTTAAATTCTTTGAGGAGATTTTTTTCAAAATCTTAGACAATGAAGGCATAGGGTTACTTATAAATGTATTGTCTTCATAACTGAACATGTTCTTAATATATCTTTCATGCTTTAAATATTTCTATTTATACAAATTGCTTATGGTAGCTCTTCAACATCTACTTAACTATTTAGAATGCTCAACTATCCACTGATGAGACATAGTCACATCAAATGGTGAGTGAAAACATCTTGAATTTGGATTTTCTTGGTGAGGTGCATTGGTAGGAGAGAGAGAGAGAGAGAGAGAGAGAGAGAGAGAGAGAGAGAGAGAGAGAGAAAAAGGAGAGAGAAAGAGAGATGGAGAGAGAAAGGAGAGAGAAAGAGAGAGAGATGGAGAGAAAGAAGAGAGAGAGAGAAAGAGTGAGAGAGAGAGAGAGAGAGAGAGAGAGAGAGAGAGAGAGAGAGAATACATGTTATCCAACACAGAAGAATCAGAAAGCAAAAGAAAAGATTTAGGTCTCATGATTCAAAGGATAGTAAACCTATTCAAGACTTTTATAGGAGTTGATAGTGCTACATTTTAAGGAACCTTAAAGATACACAGGCTTGCAGCTAGTTCACACCTACCATGTCAATATACTGTAATTAGGCTATATTAGCAATTGCTACATTGAATCTTGGGTTCTAAATCTAATAAAACTTATTAAGATAGTTTAAGAGTAGATAACAAAAAATGAGAATAAGAGTAGGCTATTACCCCAACATATACTATATATTCAGGGAAATCCTATTTTAGCTAAATGAAATTGTGAAAGTAAGGAAGTAAGTGAGAAAAATAGACATGGAAAGAAAGAAATCTTACTCTTATTTGCTTCTTTTTGTGTGTTCTTAATGTATGCAGAAAACTTGGCAAAGAGGTTACAGCCTGCATCAAAGGACTCCTTGTACCTGGGACTCAGGTGAGGATACCTTAAAAACAATATATTTTCAAAGATAGCAGTAGAAAAATATGCTCTCAAATATTGCAACTTATGAAACAAATGAAAGAAAAAGAGGACGAGGAAGATGGAAAAAATAGCTAAGATGTCTTCTTTGTAATACAAAATTCATTTAGCCAGTTAAATAAAATAATAATGTAAGTATCCACACTAATATGTTAAACAAAATCCATATGAATGTGAATAAATGCAGAAAACCTATTCACCCGCAATTCAGTGCCTTGTAGAAATATCTGCACTCCCATATTCATTGCAGTTATTCACAAAGATTACAACATAGAAATAACCTACGTGTCCATTGATGGATGAATAAATAAGGAAGTTGTGAAGGGGGGATTGGGATGTTATTCAGCCAGTAAAAAGAAGGCTATCCTGCCACTTGAAGCAAATGGATGAAGCTCAGGGCTTTATTCTGAGTGAAATAAGCCAGCCATAGAAAGAAAAATACTATGTGTTCTCATTTGTATGTAACAGTCAAATACGTGATAAAGGAGAATAGAACACCAATACCAAGAGTGGCGGCAGGGAGGGAATAAGGAGATGTAGGCAAAAAGGTCCAGGATTGTCTAAGTATGCCTGTTGTCAGGTTAGTCTCCATGGATCCAGATACCTGGTCTGCATATCTGCTGACATAGACACTAGGTCAATCTGCTCCAGGACTGCAGTAGCAAGCCTTCTCATGGGTCACACAAGATGGCTAGCTTAGAGTCTCTGGTGAAGGGATTTCCCAGCTGAAGCCTGTTACCAAAGACTGGTACAAGTGTCTTTTTCAAATTCACAAATTCCAATTAATTGCCACAAGGATCATAAACAATCAGGAAGACACGACATCATCAAAGAAACAAAATAAAGCACCAGTAACCAATCCTAAAGCACCTGAGATCCACGAACTGCCTAAAAAATTCAAAATAACTGCCTTAAAGAATCTGAGGGCCAGGGATATAGCTCAGTGGCACAGTGCCTGCCTGGCAAATGTGAGGCCCTGAGTTCAATTCCTGGTACTAAAAAAAGAAGAATCTCAGTGATCTGCAAGATAACAAAGATAGAATATTAATGAAATCAGAAAAAATATGTGAAAAAGTGAAAACTTTAATAAGATTATAAAAGAACCAAACATTCTAGGGATAAAAACACAATTATTGAACCATGAAAGTCCATAGAGAGCTTCAAGTAGAACAACGTGAACTTTACCAAAAAAGTCAAAAGGAAGACTGAAACTCCATCAAGTGAACCAATATTTACAGTATGGATTTCTCAGAAGGTGCAGAGAAAGGGCAAAAAGATTACTAAAAAACCTAATGGCTGAAACATCGCAAATCTGGGGAAAATGTAAATATTCAGGTACAAGAATTGTAAAAATGTCCAATTATATTAAATCTAAAGAAGACTAGCCTGCCATGGTAATGCATACCTGTAACCCTAGTACAAAATAGGATCGCCAGAAGTTCAAGGCCAGCCTGAATTAATAGTGAGTTCAAGACCTACCTAGTGAGACATTGTCTCAAAAAATAACAAAAAGTCTAAAGAAAACTGCACCGAGGCATATAATCAAACTAAAATATAGAAGACAGGATTCTGAAAGCAGCAAACAAAATGCATTGTATTCAAGAGAGCTCAAATATATCTATCAGCAGTTTTTTTCAGCAAGCCAGGAGAGAACAGAATGAGAAAGTGTTGAAACAAACATCTTGCCAACAAAGAATACTCAACAAAGCCATCCTTCAAAAATGAAGGATAGAGTTTCCCAGAAAACAAAGTGAATGAGTTTTCTGTGGTTTGAATGTCTCTGCAAAAGGTGTTAAAATTTAATGCCCATTGTGAGGTACTAAGAAGGTAAAAACTTAATCCAACTATGGTGTTTGGAGGTGGGACCTTTAGGAAGTAAATAAGGTTGAACAAGATCATAAAGGTAGTGTTCTAAATCTGATGGGACTAGAGGTTAATATATAAAAAAAAGGAGAGACCTGAGCTAGGATTCTTTGTCTTGCCATGTGATGCCATCTCCTTTATCATGAGCCAGCACCAGATGCTGACCAGATGTTGATGCCATGTTCTTGAAGTTCCCAACCACCAGAACCACAGGCTAAAGAAACCTCTATTCTGTGTATGTGTGTGTGTGTGTGTGTGTGTGTGCGCGCGCGCGCGTGTGTGTGTGTGTCTGTCTGTCTGTCACTAGGGATTGAGCCCAGGTAATTCTAAAATACATCCTTAGCATTTTTATTTCATTTTGAGATAGAGTTTCACCATACTGCCCTGGCTGGCCTCAAACTTGCAATACCCCTGCCCCAGCTTCCCAAGTAGCTGTGATTACAGATATGCACCACCACATGCATCAAGAAATCTCATTTTTAAAAAATAAATTACACCATTTTGGGCACTTAGTTATAGCAACAGAAAATAGATTAAGGCAGAATTCTTAAATAGTAGATATGCCTTACCAGAAATGCTAAAGGGAATTCTTTAAACTCAAAGAAAGGGGCACTAATTAGTAACCTGGAAATAAAAAGTAGAAAAGCTAGTACATTATCAAATTTGTAGTACTATAATCCTGTAAAGGTGGTGTGTAAGTTACTTATATATTTAGTATGAGGTCTGAGAGACAAAAGTATTACAATAATTGTAGCTACAATAATTAGTTAAATTATATATAATATAAGAGATGTAAGTGATGACACTGAAAACATAAAACACAAGGGGAGGAAGTAAAAATATAGAGATTTTATATGAGATTGAAGTTGTTAATGTAAGATGTTTTATGTAAGCTTCAAGGAAACCAGAGTGACAATGTACAGTAGATTTATAAAAGATAGAAAGTAAAGAAGAAAAAGCATACCTCTAAAGAAAATCATCCAATCACAAAGGCAGACATCAAGAGAGAATGGGAAAAAGGAGCTACAAATAAACCAAAAGGCAATTAACAAGATGACAGTGATAAATCTTTATATATCAATAATTACCTTGAATGTAAATGGATTAAATTCTATAATCAAGAAGAACAGACTGACTGGCCAAATGGACTAAAACACAAGATCCACCTCTGTTCTCTACACTTTTATTTTACCACACACAGACTGAAAATGAAAGGATGGACAAAGATATTCCATGCAAATGGAAACAAAAGTGAGCAAGAATAGCTATACTTATATGAGGTAAAATAGAATTTAAGGCAAAATTGTACAATGAAACAAAGAAAGTTACTATGTAATGATAAAGGGGTTGATTCTTTAAGAGGATTTAACAGTTGCAAATACATGCCTGGTAATACTCCATTTTGTGTTGCTTAAACAAAATACATGAAGCTGGGAACTTTATAAAGAAAAGATGTTTATTTGATTCAGAGTTTAAGAAGTTCAAGAGCATATTCCTGACTCTGGTGAGATCCTTGTGGCAGATGCCATCACAATAGCTGAGTGTGTATGGAAAAGGCACATGCAAAAGGATTTGGGGAGTGTCTGGCTCCCTTATCACAACTCATTCTCCTGGGGACTCATTTAGTCCCACAATACTTACATTCATCTCTTCTGAGGGTGATGCCCTTGTGATCTAATGACCTACCACTGTGCTCCGCCTGTTAATGGTTTGACTGTGTCAACATTACCACACTGGAGACCAAGGCTTCAGCGCATGAACCTCTGGGGGACAACCTTATCCAAACCATAGAATACACCCAACATTTGAGCACACAAATATTAATAAATATGAAGGGAGACATAGAGTGCAATACAGTAATAGCAGGGGACTTTGATACCCCAAAGTTAACAACGGACAGCTCATCCAGAGAGAAAGTCAATAAAGATGAATCACATTTTAGGCCAAATGGACCTAACAGACATCTACTGAACATTCCAAATTTAAAAGGATTGAAATCATATCAAGTATCTTTTTTATTTATAATGATAAGAAATTACAAATCAGTAATAGGAGGAATTTTGGAAAATGCACAAACATACGGAAGTTTTAAAAATGTTCCTAAACAATCAATGGCTAAAAGAACAAGTGAAAAGGAATATTTAATAAATCTTAATATAAAAAGTGGATGCATAGTGGGTCCATCCACTAAAATTTATGGAATGCAGAGAAAGTAGTTCTAAGAGGAAGTTTGTAGCAGTAATGAGTACATGAAAAAATAGATTTCAAAAGCAATATAATGTTATACCTCAAGTAACTAGAAAAATAAAAACAAAGCCCAAAGTTTGTAAAGGCAAGAAAATAATAAAGGTCACTGTAGAAATAGAGACTACACAAATAATAGGAAACCTTAATAAAATGAAGAGTTGCCTTTTTGAAAACATAATCAATTTTACAAGCCATTAACTAAACTAAGAAAAAAAAACAAAGAATACTCAAATATATAAAATCAGACATGAAACAGGAGATATTACAATTGGTATCAGAGAAACACAAAGGATTTAAGAGTGTACTATAAATAATTACATACCAAAAAAATTAAATAACTTAGAAGATATGGGTAAATTTCTATAATGTAACAATCTACTCTGATTGGCTAATGATGAAATAGAAAATCTGAATAGATTAATAACATGCAAAAAGAGTGAAACAGTAATATTGAATCTTCCATCAAAGAGAAACCCAGGATCCAACGATGTATGTCACTGCTGAATCCTACCAAACATTTAAAGAACTAATATTTTCAAACTAATTTAAAAAACTGAAGAGGAATGAACAGATTCATTTTACAAAGCCAGTGTTACAAGCAAAGCCAAACACTGTAATAGAAGAACATAAAATTACGGACAAATATCCTTGACAAACATTCACGTAAAGATTCTCAGCACAACACTAGCAAACTGAATACAGCATCACAATGATAAAGATGGCGATCACTCACTACGGTCAAGTGGCGTTGATCCCTGGAACGCAAGGGTGAGTCAACAAATGCAAATTAACAAATTGTTATTCTATATTAAAAGAATGAAGAACAAAAGCAATATCATCTCAATAGATATAAATGAAGAATTCGACATAATTTAACATTCTTTAATGCTAAAAATTGTGGAAATAAAAAATACATGGTACTGGCATAAAAGCAGCCACCTGGAGCAATGAAATAAGATAGACAGCGAGATACAAACCCACACATCTATGGTCAATTTTTGTATTTTCATGTAATACAAGAGATATTAATAAAGAAAATATAAAAACATTCTTCTACGAAAAAATTTCATAACAAAATAATTAGAGAATAAGATGGTTAAATATCATGTGTATTGTGATCTTAAAAGAATGGCTAAAATGTTAGTCAGAGTACAAGTCATACACCAAAAAAATTCCCTTTTACAAAGAAGAAACAAACAAATAAGACGGCAAAACTTCTTTTCAGTGAACAAATAAAACCAGTAGTATAAATGAAACAAATTAGCATTTACCTTAAAATATTTTGAAACAACAGAACTTTCCCTTACTTCCTATTTATGTATCAACCTTCCATTTTGCTCTCTCTCTCTCTCCCTCTCTCCATATATGTGAGAAACCATATGATATTTAAGCTTTAATAAATTCTGTTGGGGTAATTGGATATCCATATGTAGAAGTTTGATTCTAGACTCATACATCTCACCATGGTTAGTTGATTTTGGACAAAGGTACCAAGAGCACACGTAGGGAAGTGTGTAGTCTTACAAATGGTATTGGGTAAATGTGTTATCCACACAACATAATAATTAAAATAGCCCCTCTCTCACCACTTATATAAGAAGTAGCTCAAAATGAATCAAATACTTAAATGTCAGACCTGAAACTATAAAAGTCTATAAAAAGATTTTTATCACGTTGGTCTTGGTAGATTTCTTGAATCTGACCTCACAAGCACAATGAAAGCAAAATGGACAAATGGGATTGCACCAAACTGAAAACTTCTTTACAACAAAGAAAACAGTTAATACAGTGGAAAGCTAACTGATAGCTTAGGAGAAAATATTTTCAAACCATGTATTTGGTAAGGGACTACTATTCAAAATACACAAGGAACTCTACTACTAACAATGAACAACTTTAGCATCAATGAACAAAGACCTTGAATAGACATTTCTCAAAAGAAGACATAAAAATGACCTACAGATATATGAAAAATGTTCAATATCTATAATCAACATAAAAGTGCAAATTAAAACCACAGTGAGATAATATCATACAATTGTTAGATTTCTGGCTATTATCAAAAAAGATGAAAGGTAACAAATATTGTCAAACTGGGACCAATCTGGAACCCTAATTATGCATATGTTAGAATTCTCTCTGCATCTCGTATGTTTCTAAATGCTCTTTTATGTATTTTTATTCATTTTGCTCTCATTATGTCAATTTGGATATTTCCTACATACCTATCTTACAGTTCACTTTAAATCTCTTATACAATGCTTTGTCTGAAATTAAACCCAAGCCATAAATTCTTAAAGTTTTATAGGCATTTCCTCTTTCAGTTACAGACTTTCAGTTCTTTTCAAAACACATTCTAATTCTTTTGTGAAAGTCTCTATATTTACATATATTTTCTCCTTGTTTTCCTCTGTTTCCTTGAACATATCAGTCGGTTATATGAAAATTCTTTTTAGCTAATTCTGATATCTGAAGCACTTGCTGGATTAGTTCTATTGTCTTTTTTTTTTTTTTTTTTTTTTTTTGCGGTACTGGGGATTGAACTCACAACCTTGTGCTTGCCGGGCAGGCGCTTGTGCCACTGAGCTGTATCCCCATCCCCTTTCTAGTTACTTTCTTGAATAACAAACATGCATAAAAATTGTAGTGGCTCTAAATTATCCATTTCTCCAGAGTGTGAACCTATTCATTTGCTTGGAAGTTAGCGTGGAGGCAGGTCTTGCTCACTTGAATCAGAAGTTGTGCTGAGTCAAGGCTTAGTTTAAAACTGATTCACCCTTGGTTCTCTGGGATTTTCATATGAGTGCCTGGATTATTCAGGGAACTCTCACCCTGGAAGGTAGTAAACTCAAGTTTTTGTCTTAGTAGACCATGGAAAGCTTGTTATTTTCTGTTTAGTATTTTTTCCCATTTACTTGAGCAGCCTCAGAGGCTGGCAGATGTTTTAATGGGAAAGCTGGCCATGAGCTTAAGGACGACCTCAAAGGCTCCGCCAGAAGTTTTGCTGGTTTCTTGGACCCCGTTGGCAATTCTTTGTTGTTTTGTTTGTTCTAGGCACAAAGGGCATGCTTAAAACAAAGTGTTTTAGAAAGACTGAAAAATCGAGAATATTATATTCTAGGCAAATTCTAACTATAAGAATATTATAGCAGTGTACTTTTAGTTAAAAAAAGAATTCTCCAATCCTGAAAGAGAATTAGAAGTCAATCTGAAAAATAGAAATCTTCCGTACATTTGGAATTTTAGAAACAGAAAATTTAAAACAACTTCATGAATAGAAAGTAAGTAAAATAATTCATGGACAAAAAATGGAAATTACAAAAATATTAAGAATGAAGAGAGTAGTCCTGGTACCTTCTCTCACATGGTTTCTAAAATGGCCTTCAAATTCCTTATCCATGTTTAGAACGTACAATAGATATTGGGAAACGGGAAGAAACTGTTCAAAAAGAAAGAGAAACTGGGATGGGGGAAGGAGAAAAGAAGGAAGGGAAAAGGAAAATGAAATAAATTAAAAAAATATATATATATTAGTTAGGATAGCTATACTACTAATTTCTATTAGTTCATTGAAAAGAAAGGTTTGTGCTTATATCATTTAATCAATTTTTCATTCCTGTATCTTATAATCTGAGCAACTACTTTGAAGATAACAATAAGCAATGTGCTAACCATTGCTACTCTCCTTTAACCTTGGTATGAAATTTTATATCATTGTTTTTAGTGTTTTTTCTTTTTAAAATAAAAAAAATTAAAAATGGCCTCCAAATTCCCACCCCCGATGTAACTATTCCATATAATGCCTTACCACTGAGCATGGGTGAAACCTGTGAATACGAGGGAATACCACGACTATGATTAGGTTAGCAATCAGTTCTCTTGAAGTTAATCAAATGAGAAATTATTGTGGGTAGGCATGACCTATTCAGGTAAGCATCAGAGACACATTCTTAGACTAGTTTCTGAGGAAAACAGTAAACAACCACGTTCTGAACAGCCAGTGCAGAAAGTCAGCTTCTAGGAATTGAAAGCAAACCAATAACCAAAAACCTCAGTCAGACTGGTGCAAGAAGTTGGGTTCTGCCAAATTCTTGGATGAACACGGAAGAAAATCCTGGACCCCAGATGAGAACTAACCAATAATTAGATCGCAGCTTTACTCTGTGAGACTCTAAGCAGAAGACCCTAGTAAGCCATGCCCAGACTCCTGACCAATGGAATCCTTGAGGTAATAAAAGAGTGTTGTTTTAAGTTTATGGTAATTTGTTGCATGGCAACAAAAAAATAAATATAGCATGCCTTTCCTTTCTAAACACTATGGCAGGGGCAGGATCATATATTTGTCATTCTAGTATAGTCAGTGTGATTCTGGCCTCTGGCTAGATGCTTGAAATCTATTTCCTGGCCTCTAGCCCTTGTGTTGGTATGTTCTATATTCACTCTAACAGTGGTGTTAAGGCCCAGTCCTGTTGAGTTATAATGTCAGTACATTCATTACCCCATCACCTCCTTCCCACTGTGAGTTCCTTCTCTATTTCAAGAGCACAGAGAATTTACTTTCTTGTCTTAAAGTATGCTATGCATTTTAAAAATCATTTGAAATATGTCTGCCATCTTTGCATATTTGGAGTTGGATATGCATGTGTCTTATTTGACATGTAGGCCCCAAAATTCCAAATCACTTTGAAATTAGCAAGAATCTTCAACCTCCAATAAATAGACCAACAAAATAGATTATCATACATATAATAATACACTGTAAAACGTTGTACCTTGGAGGAGCTAGTGTCTGCTCTAGAAACTCCTCAATTTTAATGAAGTCAGTTTTCAGTTCCTTGTTATACAGCAAGAAGGGAGGATTGGTACCTGGGGCCAAGTCCTTCAGCTCTTCAGGCTTTCTATGATTATTGAAAATAAACAGAGTTAGGCCTCTAAGATAAAGTATACATCATGCACCAGAGAAACAATGTGATATTTAAACATGTATGTTCTATTTATTTTACTTAAGAAGATGGCTTCCGGGTACATCCATTTACCTAGAAATGTCTTAAGTTTATCCTTCTTTAAGGCAGAGTAGTACTCCATCATATTTTAAAAAGCCATGAAAGTGTAAATAGGGCCAAAATGTATAATAGCTATTGGGAAATGGGGAGAAAATGTTCAAATGGGAAGAGAAACAGGAGTAGGGGGAGAGGAAAGGAAGGAAGGAAGGGAAAAGAAAAAAAGAGAATAGAAGGAAAAAATGCAAACAAAGCTTTCGTAAATAAGGAAGGGAAGAGGAGTTGAGGGAGGGGGAGAGGTTGAGGAAAAAAGAAGGATCAAGATATATCATGGACAGGTACAAATTACCTAGATGAATGTGATCATTACGTATATCTGAAATGTACCAATAAAATTAACTTTAAAAAAGAGAAAAATTACATATCATACAAATACCAACATTCAGTTCACTCTGAATTCATTCATTCTATTTTATGTGAAGTTCCAGAATTTAACATGTTCTGATTTAATCTTACCTGGTCATGTCAACAGTAGTCACATTAAACTTAACTCCTTTAAGCCAGAGGATCATGAAAAGGCGCTGGCAAAAGGGACAGTTCCCGATGCTCTCTCCATCACCTCCAGCCTGTTACAGTAACGAAAAGTCTCAATGCGTTCATTTGTTCAAGTATGTTTTGAGTTCCCACTGGGAAATAAACTAGTTGCTGGAGGCAAAATTAGAAGTTCTTAATCTATGGGCTAAGAAAGATAATGAATCAACCCCATTATATATAAAATTACAAGTGATACAAGCACACAATAAATTTTGTAATATTCCCAAAAATTATATAACTATTTTCTGGTTGACAGAAATTTAGGATATTACAAAATTTTTACTATTCTAAATACTTCAGTGACAAACATTTTCTGGCCATGTAACATAGCACTTCTGAGATTACATCTTTCAGGTTAATCTTTAAAATGAGAACACTAACTAAAGATTATTCACATTTTCTGTTTTGATACTTTTTGCCAATTTTTTTCCTGAATTCTATCTCTATGTCCATTGATAATTGATTTCTTGATTGCATAAATTATTTACTCATGACTATTTCCCATTTTTCTACTAAGAGGATGACTTTCTTTTATTGATTTGGAAAATATAAGGGCTGGGGATTTAGCTCAGCGGCACAGTGCTGGCCTGGCAAGTGTGAGGTTGTGAGTTCGATTCCTGGTACTGGAAAAAACCCAAAAAAAAACAACAAAAAAAAGGAATATATATATAATATATATATATATAAAAGACAACATTTTGTGACACATTACATGTACTTTTAAAAACATGCCATTTAACTTAAACTTACACAAAATCTATCATTGTTTTCCTCCATGCACTTTGGTTTTCTGATTCGCTTAGATATATCAAGTTTATAAAAAGCTAATTTTTATCTTTATTTTCTTATTTTGTTTTTTTCTATAAAGACCTATTATGTGGGCTGGGGATTTAGCTCAGTGGCACAGCGCCTGCCTGGCAAGCGCGAGGTCGTGAGTTCAATTCCCGGTACCGGACCAAAAAAAAAAAAAAAAAAAAAGACCTATTATGTTTTCCTCTGGTATCATTTTGGTTTCATTTTTGCATTTGTTTAATGTATTTGGCATTTGTTTTTGATGTGAGAGGTGTACTAGGACTCCTGATTTAGTATTTTTAACTGTTTTTGTTTGTTTTACAAATAGTTAATAGTCATCTTGCACCATTCACTAAAAAACACATCTTTCTTCTATTAATTGAAAACAACAGCACACTGTTATGCTTTGAAATTATATATACATGTATATATATATTTAGTTAATCTGTGGACTCTCTGTTCATTCATTCATTCATTCACCCAATAAATATTCACTGAACATATTATACATTTAACATATACCAGTATATACTGGTATATATAATATATATGTGTATATATTAGATGTTAAAGTAAAAATAACCCCAAGGTAACTCATTTTAAAATAGAGATAACTTCTTTGAAGGAAGGAAATATATTTCATGAGTGTGTGACAGAGTAATCTATGTGAGATCTATTAAGGTCTTTGCTGAGAAAAGTGTCACTTAAACAGAGTTTAAAGGAGTGAGAGTTAACTAGGTGAGAGGGCATTCTAAACATAGAGAAGAGCACGTGTGAAGGCTTTGCAATAGGCTTTACCATGGTACGTATAAGGAACTGAAAGAAAGTCAGTGTAACTGGTAAGAGAATGAGGGAGAAAAGATAAAAATCCATGAATTCATCAAAGCTAAAAGCTGCTTTTCAAAGTAACTGTTTAGAAATGTGTCAGAGACTCAGGGAACTTTCTGAACTGATGGAAATATTCTATATTTTGATTGGAGTAGTGGTTACATGTACATATAAGTTTGTCAGAAGCCACTGAGCAATACTCTTAAAATGGATGCATTTTACTTTATGTAAATTATACTGATAAAATATGTTAAAATAGGAAAGCTCAGAAGCAGGCCCCCACATCACCCCGAATAAATGATATTATGCAGAGGTTGTAGACAGTGCAATGACCTACGTAACGGTTAGACAATGGGAGGGGGTAACTGAGAGATGACACAGAATAAGATCCTTTGAGGACAGGAAGTCAAGGATCGGAGGTATTACAGTGTCTGGTCACCTCTGTAGGTATTAAAATCATCAAGAATTAGGATGAATAGTACTGGAAAGAGTGACGATGACCCTCAAAAATGAGGAAGAGTGACTTGGGCACTACAACATAAGGAAAGGTAATGGGTGACTCCACTTAGGTATTCGTCTTGACGGGAGGAAAACTAGTCCTGGAAACCACAGTGGGGAGCAAGACTACCTAGAGGACACCTACCTCAACTCAACCAGCTCAACAGTATGAGGAATAGAGGAAAAAAAAGGCAACCACTTGTTGAAAGGGATATAGTTGAAGTAATGTCCTCATGTCAGATCTAAGTTTTTAAGGTTTAATTTCAATGTGTTCCAAACTAAATTTTAACCCATTTTCTTTATACACAAACTTATTCTTTCTTTAGAGCCCCTAATTCTGTGAATTTTCTGTGGACTGAATTGTGTACCCTCCCCAAATCCATATGCTGAAGCCTTACCCTTCCGGGTGACAGTATTTGGAGATGGGCTGTTTGAGAAGTAATTTTAGTTAGATGAAGTCCTAAAGGATGAGGACCTCAAGATTGAATTGGTGACCTTATAGGAAGAGATGCCAGAGAGCTTGTTCTCTTTCTCTATCATGTTAAGACACAGAAAAGGTGGTGATCTACTAGCCAGGAAGAGAGAGCCCTCACCAGAGTTCGACTATGCTGACAACCTGGTCTTAGACTTCTGGTCTCTAGAATGGGAAGAAATAACTTTTTGTTGTTACAGTCACCTACTCTGTGTAATTTTGTTATGGCACCATCATCTGAGCCACTATTTACTAAGTTGCCCAAGATAGGCAATTGGGAAGCATCCTTCTAGTTAACCCCCCCCCAAACTGAATTCAACACTTACTTCTGTCAATTTTACTTACTAGGTATCTCCCAAAGAAATTTAGTTCTTTCCTTTGCCATGGTCATTCATTCATTCAATATTTATTTGATGCTTAGTATCTGTGAAGCACTGTTAGATACTAAGTCCAAGCTATTAGCATCTCTCATCCCTGAGACCCACTTTTTTTCTCTTTTGCCTCAGTCACTTAGCCACTAGTGTGTAGAATGTAGAAGGAAATAAATGGTGCTCCATCTCAAAGGTACTTTCATTTGTTATTTGTAATAATATTAACATCTCAGGAGCCCTGAGCATAATTTTCTGGCAAATTTTTCTTTACTTGGCAATGAGTGTGACCAAGGAAATATTTGTTGCTGCTATTTCCTGATGTCAGGGAGTGAATAGGTATGGGAAGAGGCAACCAACCTTGGCAGCTGTATTTCTTTTGTAATAGAAGTCAGACTAAGCATTTAATCTGAACTGGTTTTAGTGAGGAAAACATGATTAAGGGTGGGAAGCAGGAAGAAGAATGAAGCTGATAATAGATACAGCAGGAAGGGTGGATCACCTTTGGGAAAAGGAGAATCAAAATACTGATGTGTAGGGGAAATGGAGGAAATTTACACAGGAAAACTCAAGTTTTTCTGTTTATTTTATGGTTATTTAAAGTAGCATCACATAAGTTTTTAGGATATAAATCCCCTAGCTTAATTGACAAATTACTTACCTCTTACCTATGATTAGCTGACAAAGACAAGTGTGGTTATTCACAAAAACATTTTTTCTTCTTATGTCTGTGATCTAAGTTTATAAACTTCAAAAATAATATTAGCAACAATAACCAACATTTACTGAGTGCTTACTATGTCACTAACTACTGTTATTTCCATACTTGCTTCATTTAACCCTCACCATGAGGATGGCCCTTTAAGGTGGACTATGTCATCACTCCTGTTTTATAGGTGAGGGTAGTGAAGCTCACCAAAACTGGCACACTCAAGTACACTCAGCTAGTTAAGAGATATTGACACATATATTCTCCTCATTTAACAAATTTAAGACTATCTCCTCCAGAATCCACACTCTTAAACATTTCTTTCTTTCATCTATTAGTTTCCTGGAATTTTTAAATTAATCAGTCTTTATGGTAGTCTTTTTAAAATTTATTTTTATTTTTATTTTTGATAGTTTTAAAAGAGCTTGAAAATGGTATGAACATTCAGAGTAAAGTATAACCTTTTCCTCCTTTCTTACATTTATTGAAAAAGTTTTTGACACAGTACATTTAGAATTTGGGCCCAAATATTTGATTCCATAATTTTTATATAAATCTATTAAAACCTAATTTTATTGTCTTTGATAGAGAATGCAAACATTTAATTTAACGATGAATATCAAACAAATAAAGTGGGCCCAACATTTATAAAAAACAAAATGAGCATTATAAACTTCTTTGTTCTTAGTTCCTGGATATAAATCTTGCCAAATTGTTCAGGGTTGAAAGACAATGTTTTTCACTGACTACAATTGTGTGATATAGAATAAATATGTACTTATGACAGGAAAGTAATCTCTTGTACAAATCCAAGTAGTGGTAGAGTTTTTAAACCATAGCAAGAGCTAGGTTGGAAATCATAGAGTGATCTAATATTTACCATTGGCAAAGACCAATGCTTTTTTTGGGGGGGTGACCAGGAATTGAACTCAGGACCTCGCACGTGCCAGGCAGGCACTGTGCCACTGAGCTACATCCCGGGGACCAACGCTTTTGAAATTTACTCATTAGCATTTTTTACTGTTCTCAACTCTCACGTCTCCTCCCAGTATCTTCCATGAAATTTCTAGAGATCTGTGGGTCATACCGTAAAGCCAAACAAAACAAAAAACTTGGACTAGATGTAACTCAAGATTCTTCTAGAAAAATCTGTAATTTGTTTTAATGTTATTAAATAATTAAGCTTGCACCTAAATCATCCCATCTGATGAAATTCTGGAAAATTTTACTAACTCTTATCCAACTGAAAATAGTTGAGTGAGATCACATGTAGCTATTTTATTTTATTGTTTTTGGTTTTTCTCTGGTACCGGGAACTGAACTCACAACCTTGCGCTTGCCAGGCAGGCTACATGTAGCTATTTTAAAGGATTGGAATTCTAACTCTTCCATTCATTAGTTATAAGATTTTGGGCAAAGTTACACTTAGCTTCTCTTTCCTTTAAATTCTGTATCCATAAAATGGGGTTAGTAATAAACTACTTACTATATTGCCTACCCTGTAGTAAACATTCAATAAATGATAGGGTAGTTTAAACTGAACATTATTATTCAAATCAGCATTTTCTCATTCAAGGTGTGATTTGGTAACCTCTCTCATCCATATTACTTTCCAAATATAGGAAGTCTATGAAGATAAACACACTTCTTAATACCAGCAACTGACTCGAGAAGTCTAATTGAATCAAGTGAACAGAATTTGGACAAAAGGAACACTTTGGGCACCTGATGAAGAAACACTACCTCTTGTTTGGAACTGGTAAATGTAAAAGTTTAATTAGAAAATTAAAGCTAATTTTTACACTGTCTGAGCAGTCACATGTTTTACTATAATACAGAGGTAGGAGAAGTAGTTCCTACATCCCATAGCCCAGCAAACACTTACTTGGATTATCTAGTTATGGAGGAATAAAGGTTCTTTCCGTTGTAATTTTAAAAAGACAGGTTGATGATGTCCTTGGTGCTGCTATGTCACCAGTTGTTAAGTAATCTAAAATAGTTGTAACACTATTACTGTAGCCAGTAGATGTTTATCTGAACATCTGATAAGCATACTATATTTTATGTCTTTGAAAAGTCATCAGGAGGTTAAATAGTTTTAGAAAAAAAATTACTTAAACTTTATTCTCTTACTATACTTATCTAGAAGTGATGAGAACAATATTATAATACTGTAATAACGTAAACTTTTTTGTGTAGTAGTAACTGCTACTATCACTATTACTGATGATGATACTAGTATGACTACAATTCATAATAGCCTACCTCCTAAGTTGATGTGAGGTTCAATGAGGTAATATAAGTAAAGTATTTAGAAGTGTTTAAAAAAGGACCAGACACAACATAAGAATTTTTTTTACTATTATTATTGTATTACCCCAAATATTTCTAATGGTCAATGAAAATACATAGAAAAACTAAACTGTAAGAAAAGATTTAGGAAATTATTTTTTACTTGGAGTAACCTATACAGTTTTTTTCTTGATGAGTTAACATGTTTCTTTCTCCTGTTTTAGGGATTTTCCAAAGTACTTTTCTGAAAAGTTAAGACATTAAAAAAAAAACCCTTCAGGGCATACCGAAAAGAGGAAGCGAGGCATTCTAAAATGCCTCTTCCTTGCGTAATAGCACACAGACTCCTGCTTTTTCCCACAAAAAACATACGACCCTGTTGCAATGTCTGTCCTTAGGGAAAATTTGAGAAACTTCTGTCTGGACTGTGAAGGAATAGGGTTCTAGAGCCATTCATTGCCTTCTCCTCCACCTATTTAGATCTTCCAAAATCTATGTCATACATATTGTGAGATCATTCTGTCAGGCTCCTTCATTGTATAGATGGAGAAACAACGCTCTGGTGGGAGGAGATTTTCCCAAATATTCACAGGAAGCCACTGAAAGTAAAATTTAGTTGTTCTATCAATCAGACTAGTGCTATTTCCACTATACCATTTTGTCTTTTTTCAGATGACATCTGTTTTCCTGTTGTTGTCTAGCAGTAGCCAAACACGCAGGCATTCTTCTCGGACTCAGACTAAGAAAATACTTACAGAATTCTTTCTTCATGAACAGTCCCAAATACTGAGAATTTTTTAGAAGCTGAAGTAGAGTGTGAAGAAGTAATATACACTGTATGCTGTTATTACAGCTAGTAAACTTACCTTCACGAAAAGCTCAATTTCAGGGTCTTCTTGAGTGCTGGGCCTCGTGCTCGCCATCTTTCCGTTTTTACTGCTGGTTTTCAGATCCCTGCCTTGAGCAGAGGCTACAGTACCATGGACTCTTCTTCCAATTGTATCAAAAGGTTCAAGGGACGCTGGTACTTTAAGAGGACAGTTTTTAGCATGTAGTGGATTAAGTCAAATCTGGGTCCAGTCTCTCCTGTTGAGAGGTGGGACATAGAAATTCTAGACGCTTAAGAGCAGCTCTTGAATTTGTTTTTCTTCTTCCTCTTGACCTAACATTTGAATCAAGGAGGAGCCCAAGGGGTGTGTATGAATTGACTGGCTAGAAGGGTGGGGGTGTTTCCAGAGAGGCTTCGAGGCCATGAGTCAGCAGAGTAGAAACACACTCACGCACACACACACAGACACACACACGGAGTGTTGGCATCTATATATCAATAGGAGCAGATGTTCTCTAGAGCCTCCCTTTGAGTCCTAGGCTCCATGCCCAGAAAAGGGACTCTTATTACTGTTCCTGTAACCTAATAGCTCTTCCAGGAAAAGAGCCAGAAATGGCTCAAATTTTTATTGTTGAAAATTGTTTTTATCTAATGATACAGTCTAAAACAGGGTTAAAAATTATACTTCATGAAATATCTCCGCCCTTAACATTACTGCTCACACAGCCAGATTTCTGTTCTGCATTGAAAATTTCACTTCTCTAGTATAACTTAGGATTGTTCACTGAAGTGGTAAAAGTCTGGGGGCTTTCTTAGTTCACCCCTCCTAGTTTTTTATTTTTTTGAAGTGTGGCCTGGGACATATGTTGCTATCTGTATCAGGAACCACAAGTAGTTTGGTATCTGCTTGTCAACACAGAGAACAATAGTGAACCATCCGAACTGATCGCTGAATGTCTAAGGTATTCCTGACAGCTGTGTTTCCCGCCTGCCAGAGATAAGGCGGGGGTGGGGCAGGACTAATAACCTCTTTTGTGGCATGAAACTCTTCCTGCCTGGAGGCAAAATGAGCATAGATCCACCAGTGGGTCAACATCATCATCCTCTTTCTATGACACCAAATGTCCCCCATGCTCATATGGGCTGTATATGAATCTGCCATTGTCCTGTGTAGCTTTTCAAGATAGGAGACCTGGGGAAATCCATACCTGCAGGTTCTAGGCAAGGGGTACCTGATATAAACATGGGTATTCTTTTGGGTGAGGGAGGGACCTGATGATTTCTCAAGTAGTCTGAGGGAAATTGTGCTGGATATCTGTTGAACAGACCTTCAGGGGTGAGTTTAGGACTGGTTGTTTGGCAGGACCTGGTGGGTGTTTTGTTTAGCCATGTTTTATAACCTATTAATCTATCTTTGTTCTTTTCTTCATACGTTATTCACTCCAAAGACAATCAATGGATGCCTAGTCTGTACCAGGATGCTGACCCTCTCCATTTCAACTGAGAGCACAGTGGAACACAGCGTATTTGGGTGGACAATAGGAATTCAACCTTAGGCATGCTGAGCAGGAGGCATCTTCACTCTTCACTACTGCCTATATATAATTAGTATAAAATCCTTTCACTTCCACATCCTGAATATTTTAAAATATCATCCAGTGCTCACCTCTATTACTCCAAATTTCAAACCAGCAATATCCTTTTAATTTTTATTTTAAAATGCCAAATAATTGCCTGACCCTCTGTCCTCACCACCACCTCTGCCATAACGTCAGACAACAGACTAATGAGCTCTGTATGACCGTTAAAAATTGTCAAGGAGATGAGATTTCTCTTTCTTTTTCTTTGCGCCTTTGGTTGTTTAATTTTTTTTTTTAACCAGATAGCATTTACACATCATACAGTTGGCCTATTGTAAGTGTGCACCACAAGGATTTTTAGTAAATTTACCAAGTGGTGCAACCATGACTACAATCCCTACTAGACATTTCCATCATCTCAATGCCATCTCCCTTGTCTGTTTGCTCGCCATCCTCATTAACATGCCCAGCCCAAGGCAACTCCTCATCTAATTTCTGTCTCTATGGATTTACCTATTCTAGACATTTCATTGAAATAGAATCATACTATATATGGCCTTTTGTGTCCAGCTTCTTAGGTCCATGTTATAACTGGAATCAGTACTTGATTCATTTTCATGGATGATTAATATTCAGCTGTATAGACAGACATTTTGGTGCATACTAGTAAAACAATAATGAGATTTGTTTTAGTTTATTGATATACACATAGGATATATTTGGATTATTTTCTTCCCTATTACCCTTTTCTCCCTTTCCTCCCTCCTCCACCTAATCCCTCTTATCATCTCTAAACATCTGCCTTCCAGAACATCTGCCTTCTGCCTTTTATCTTATTTATTTTTAGTTTTTTAGATGGTTCATGCAAGATAAAACAAGTAATATTTAACTTTGTGAATCTGGCTTATTTCATTTTACAAAATGGACTCTAGTTCTATCCATTTTCCAGAAGATGATATACTTTTATTCTCCTTTATGACTGAATAATATTTATACTGCATATATATACTACATTTCCTTTAGTCATTCATTTGTTGATAAATATCTATGCTGTTTCAACAGTGTATTATTCAGCTTTCCCATTTCTGGGAGAAAATACCAGACTTACAACTTAATGGAGGAAGGTCTTATTTTTGCTTATGGCTTTAGAGAATTCAGTCCATGGTTGACTGCCTCCAAGACAGAAACATTATGGTGGAAGGACATGGTGGAGCACAGGTGTTTAGTGTAAGGTGGCCAGGAAGCAGAACAAGGAACAGTGTCTGACCTGAGTGGGTGAGGGATCAAATATGGACTCCAAGGTCATTCCTCCATGACCCACCACCAGGCACACCCAGAAGTATGCTTTACTAATTCCAGAGGTGGCTCTAGGCCAATCAAATTGACAATCCACCTTAAGTATTGCATACAACCCCTTGTCAACTTGATACCCAAACACATTTTAAACCATAATGGTCTCCAAAATAAACACAAGATCATAAATTCCATCTAACATCATACAACTGCCCTACTGTATTAGCTTTCCTATCACTGGCACACAATATCCAGCATCCACAACTTAAAGGAGGAGAGGTTCAAATTGGCCAGTCTTTTCAGGATATTCAGCCCATTGTCATTTGCCTCCAAGGTAGAAACATCATTGTAGAAGGTCCTGGTAGAACAAAGGTACTTAGTTCACGGCAGTCAGGAAGATGATCAGAGGAACAGCACCAAAGAGGAAGGGTCCACTGACCACATATAATAGTCAAAGTCATGCCTCCATGCCCCACCAAGACATACCCAAAAATGCGCTTTACTAATCCTTTAGCCATCTCTTAATCCAATGATGTATCATGATTAACACTCACATCTGCATACAACTGGAACACAATAATCCCTTTCCCAAGTTCTCAACAATCTCAGCATTACTAAAATCTCCATGCCCAAAGTCTCCCCTAAGACTCAAGGCAAAGTGTTAGCTGTGAACCCGTGTAAGAGTCAGAAACAAGTTACATAATCCTAAGGCTCAATGAAACAGGGTAAACAATCTCATACTGAAAGAGAGAAATAGGGGAATAGAAAGAATCAGACATAAGCAAGACTGAAAGTCAGCCAGGCAAATGTTAAGTAGCTGTAGCTCCATATCTGGGATCTTAGAAACTTGATGATAAAGAGTTCCAAAGAGCTTGGGAAGCCTCATCCCTGTGTCCTTGCTGGTTTCAGCACACATAGCCTCTCTCTTGGGATGGCTTCACTCATGTCAAGCAGCTTTTCTCAGCCAACCATCAACATTTCTGTCATCACTGACTTCCTGGGATCTCCATTACACTTTTGGCTTTATTTTCACAGCTTCTGCCCTCTTAACGTCCTTTTTTTTTTTTTTTTTTTTTTGGTTTTTCTCTGGTACCAGGAACCGAACTCACGACCTTGCGCTTGCCAGGAAGGCGCTTTTGCCGCTGAGCTAAATCCCCAGCCCCCTTAACGTCCTTTTGCTTGGCCTACAAGGCCTTCCTTTGAAATCTGTATAGAGGCCTCCATGATTTCATAACTCTCACACTCTTCATAGCAGTAAAACCAGCATCAGCAAAGTCAGCTGCCAATGTGGGCAGTATCAAGGGCACCATAGGCCATTGCTGCAGTGGCCTCTGAGTGCCTGATGTGTGAGCACAGTGAATGAATCCTAGGTATCTAACTCCTTAAGCAAACTTTCCTGAGCAGGGACATAGGTGATCTCTTCCCAAATTAAAGGTTTATACTTTTGTACCCTTGTACCTGCAATGGGTGGGATCTTGCCAAGTCCAAATATGCCTTTAAGACATATTCATGTCACTGTACAAAGTGCTTTGTTTCTTTTTAATGGTGCTAATTTCTTTAGCAGCCACATCTGTTAGCCCCAACTTTACACATAGTTCTTTTTGGCCCTATATTTAAGTTTTTCTACTCTGCTTTTTGCCTTTGATTCTTATTATAAATTTGGCTAAAAGCAGCCAGCAATACCCATGCTACAGCTGGAATGTTTGGCTGCCTTGAAATTTCCTCTGCCAGATCAATTAGTCCATAGCCCTTAATCTCAGTCTCCTGCAAAGTCTCAGGACATGAGCCAAATATAGATAATATTTTTGTCAGAGTGTTGCAAATGTGACCTCTAATCAATGTCAATGAAGACCTTGTTCCCGAGTAAAGTCTCCTAAGCTTTAGCCTTTATTGTCTGCATTCCTATTAGCATTTTGGTATTCTGAGCTCTGACCAGTATCACCCACCAGGCTATTCTTATATCATTTTCGGGCTTCTCTAGCCTACATCTCTAAACTTTTCCAAAATCATCCTGCAAACCAGTTCCAAAGGCTTCTAAATCATGTAGTCAGTTATAGTCAGCACAATGACTTCACTTTCAGCACCGATTTTCATGCATTAGTCAGATTTCCCATACCTGATACCCACAACTTAAAGGAGGAGATGTTTTGCTGGACATCAAAAAAGTTTCAGAGGATTTTTCCATGGTTGGTTGGCTGTCTCCAAAGTAGGAACATTGTGATATAAGGACTTTGTGGACAAAGATGCTTAATTCATAGCAGCTTGGAATCAGAGCACGGAAATAACATAGAGAGGAAGTGGAAAAGATAGACCTCTAGGTCATGTCTCTAGAATCCATCTAAACACATCCAGAAGTGTGCTTTGTTAATCACCTGGGTGGCTCCCAAGACAAGAAAGTTGACAGTCTACCTTTACCATCACACATAGTTTAGGCATTTTCAATTCTGCTATAATAAATGTGGGTGCACATGTAGCAGTATAGGATGCTGATTTAATTCTTTGGGGAATATAACAAGAAGGCCATAAATGGGTTAAG